GAGCTGCTGTGAGTGTCTGTTTCTGGGTCAGTCCAGGTGAAAGCAAAGAGGTCCTGACATTGTGGATCTAAAGGGATAGTGAAGAAGGCATCTTTAGATCAAGGACCGTAAAAAAGGAGGCAGAAGGGGGGATAGAAGACAGAATGGTATAAGGATTGGGCACAACAGGGGCTGTGGCCAGTACTGCCGAGTTGATGGCTCTGAGGTCTTGAACCAGGCGATACGAGCTATTTGGTTTAATAACAGGAAGGATGGGAGTGTTGAAGGGGGAGTTTGTGGGCCTTAGAAGACCTGAATTGAGAAGTTTGGAAATAGTAGGTTTAAGGCCGAGTAGATGTTTGGTTGGGACAGGGTATTGGGGGACGAAAGGGAAGGAGTCAGGATTTTTGTGGTGGATAAGGACTGGAGTATGGTGTTTGGCTATGGATGGATTAGAGGTGTCACAGACAATAGGGTGGACCTTATCTGGAGGTAATGGGGGAACAACCGAGGCCGAGTCTGAGTCAGCAGCGGAGACAAGAAAGACGGAGGCCGAGGGTGTGTAGGCAGAGGGAGTCAGTGAGACCGTAGCATGGAATTTAGATAAGATGTCCCTCCCCAGTAAAGGGGTGGGGCATTGGGGAATGACTAAGAAGCGGTGTGTGAACTATATTCCTTCGAAGGTACAAAGTAGGGGTTGAGTTAATAGAGGGATGGTCTTTGTTCCCAAGACTCCTACAATAGTAGTGGTAGATGGCGTTAAGGGGCCCAAAAATTCGGGCAAGGTGGAGTAAGTGGCCCCGGTATCAACAAGGAAAGAGATCAGCTTACCTGCCACGAGAAGATTTACCCTGAGCTCCTGATGTGTGATCGCCACCCGGGGCCAGAGACCCAGGGCCCCGTCAGTCCTCTGTTGCCAGTCCCAGCAGATCTGTTAGGGATCCGGAGGTGGGGGTTTTCATTAGAGAGGAAGATCCAGCCCCCCTTCTGCGACTGGGGAAATCGACTCCCCAATGTCCCTCCACGTGGCAGCGTGGACAGGGGCCGGGAGGGGGTCTCAGATTTGAGCATTGTCTTGCCCAATGTCCATGCTGCTTGCATTTGAAGCAGGCACCCGGTGGGGTTGATGTAGCCTTCCTTTCTGAGTTGGCTTGGAGCCTTGGAATGTGGAGCCCTTAGGGCCTTCGCCAGCATAGGGTAATTTTCTTGGTCTCTTTTTTTAAGTTCCTCCTTTTCCTGTTCTTCTCTCTTATGGAAGACCTTGAAGGCCACGTTAAGCAGTTCTCTCTGGGGAGTCTCGGGCCCATCCTCAAGCTTCTTTAGTTTTTTCCTTACATCTGGGGCCGACTGGGATATAAAATGTGAGTGTAGTAAAGCCGTCTCCGCCGGGGAAGTAGGATCCATACAGGTATATTATAGAAGCGCCTGTGAAAGATGTTCAAGGAATTGCCCAGGGTTTTCCTGTGGGCGCTGGGTAATCGCCTTCATTCTATCATAATTTACTGCCTTATTAGCCAGCCCGTGAAGAGCTGGGTAACATAGTCAAGCATAGGGTTCCGTGCCTCTCTATTCTGATGCCCAGGTTGGTAGTTCCAGTTGGGATCTTCCCGGGGAATGCAAGGTGCCAATAGGGCTGGAGTTGTTACAGGTGTGGGCCTCGTCTGCTATTTGCTGAGCCGTGTCCCAGACTCGGTCTTTGTCTGATGGTGATAGAGAGGAAGTGAGAATAATAATGTCGTGCCAGGTGAGATCATAAGACTGAGTGAGGTATTTGAATTCCTTGATGTAGGTATCTGGGTCAGAAGAGAAAGAGCCAAGATGTTTTTCAATTGGAGAAAGATCAGAGAGTGAAAAGGGAATGGATACTCGGATAATACCCTCCGACCCTGCAACCTCGCGCAAAGGGAACTGGCCAGCCACCTATGAATTCGGTTGCAGTTGCGGGCGGTCACGGGGGCGGAGGTTCCGCGGACAGTGTACAGGGGAAGGTGGGCAGGTAGGGTTCTCGGAGGGTAAAACGTGGGATGCAGGTTTCGTAGCGGGGTTGTAAGGAGGTGGTGAGAGCGGGGGAGGTGGAGAGGAATGATCGGCTGGGTCTTTGATCAGATCCGGGACACTACAGTGCACATGCATGTAGTCCTCTACATCTGGAGAGGACTTCCATTGTCTTTACCACGCACACAGAGGTACTACTTGTCCCGGGCCACCTT